ATGTCCCCAACCTCTAGGCTCATAAAAAAAAATCAATTTATCCAATGTTACAGGAATTAAAATCCTACGCTCATAGGATTAAGGATTTTAAGTCTGTCATTTATTGCTGTATCTCTGACATCCAACGCAATGACTGGTGCACAGTAGGTATTCACCAAAAAATGTACTGAATTAATGAATGGAAGCCCTAAAATTATTCGACCCAAAAGTCCTAATTGTGAAATAAAACCCATAAAAATGACAATGGTAAGCTGTGTTGACAACCTGTCATTTCAAAACTCCTGTCAAAACCGCTTCATAAAAGTGTTTGGTTGATACACCCCATGTCTAGAAAGCTGTAAAACAGCTGGACAAGGTCCAGAACCAACCTGACTTGCTCCAGGTTCCAAAAATGACAACCAGACTTACTGTTTGCATTCCTGTCTCTGCCTTTTGGTGAGCAGTTTCCGTTCCAACAAAATCTTCTCATTTTTAATTTACTCTCATATTTATATGTCTAATGATTTAATATCATATTACACCAGTCTGGCCTTTGGGGTGCCCTGAACATGCATTTTTCTCATCAACCTTTCCATATATTATATACTAACCAGCCAGAAACCAGTCATCCTTACATGAGACTCTCAGGTAAGAATCGGTGTTTCATTTCTCACTCCAGAAACAGCGTTCTTCACAGACTCTGTGTAAAACCAGTTCCCCCACCCCCACGTCTTCTGTAAGCTTGTCCAGACATGGGGAACATCATCAGGCCAGCTCTTCCAGTCATTCCATTGCTTGCAAAGCAATCATTTATAGGCATTTGGTGTTTTGTCTGACATCTGTTTGATGCTTGAGCTCCAGCCTGTGTCTCAATGAATCACTTGTCAGGGAAGGCTGGATTTCACACCTTCAGGAAGGCTTGTCTGTGATGTAAGTGATCTTAGCCTTTTTGAAACAAGTAGTCATCCCTCCTACCCCCCTATCCCACAAGGAAGCAGGGAATTGGAGATTAGGGAACCTGATGCTTATTTGATCTGTCCCCATAGGCTTGAGCCAGGCCTTCTTCTCTGGGGAGCACATTGCCAGCCCACCTCCATGGCTGGAATGTTGCTGTTAGAAAGAACCAGACTGAAATATTTGTGTAGAACATTTGAAAGCATCAGACAGAGTAAGAGGAACCAATTTTTGAAAAACAAAGAAAAAGGAAATTCACCATTCTTCAGCAGTTTGTAGAAGATTTTATTTTATTTTATGTTTTTTTTGGTGGTACTAGAGTTTGAATTCAGGGCCTCATGCTTGCTAGGCAGGTGCTGTACCACTGGAGCCACTTGGCCAGCTCTATTTTTTAAAGTGCAATTTGATAGCTGTATCTATGTTGGTTCATGTCTAGTGAAAGGAACAGGGGAGTGGGAAGGGGCCAGGAATCTGACTGGGTTATAAACCTTGCTGGGATTAGCAAGACTTTATTCTCCAAACAGGTACCAGTGACCTCACAGGGAATATATGGCAAGTAAAGTTGCTTTGAAAACCACAAAGCCTATAGCAGATCCTTGTAAAAAGTGATTATTCATAGTGTCCCTCGTGGGATCAGAGAACTTGAGCAGAGGAAGAAGGCAAGGGCATGCTCAGTCTGGGAACACTAGAGGTAGTCTTTTGGAGCAGACCCCAGTGAACAGAGATAGGTCACAAGGTGAGACTATAGAGAACACGGGATACAAATCATAACCTTTCACTTCACTCTGCTTAGTAGGAAAGCAGGATGGTAGACAAGGCTTAGCTGGAGAGATTCTTTTTTGTGACTTTTAAACTCTTTTCCTTGACTTCACAGAAAGTCACATTAGGAAGAGGTTGTCATAGATAGACAAACTCCCAGGATGGGATGTCAGAATTTCCATATCTGATGAGATAGTGGGTGGAAAGAAAAGTTTTTTGTTTTTTAAAGATTTTTAATTCAGAGAATAGAAAAGGGGAGGGGAAACTGATACCCCATCTGAGGCTTCTGAGGTGGATTTCTAAATTAGTGCAAGGGGGTGGGGGTGGGGTAGGATGCCAAAACACAGGCTCATCAGTCACTTCATGCATCTGAGTTGGAAAACAGTTAGCTCTGAGATGCAAATCATTTCACCACACCTCTGACTCAGTGGCAATGAAAAGTTGTGAACCCTCTGGAGCCAGGAATTCCCAACATGACTTGGTAATACATTTCACAGCCTGAACTTCAGATCTCCTGGGCCAGGCTGGGAAATATTCTAAGCTTTCTGCATAACAAAGACAGACCCTCCCTCCCAAACACAACTCACTTCCAGCCCTACCCCACACACATGCCTTCTTGTTTGTTCCATTAGGTCAGGAGGTTAATGAAAATGCACCCTAAAATTATTAAGATGAAGCCAGGCACGGATAATAGATCTCCATTAAAATCTGAATATGCAACTGGACGTGAAGAAAAGTCCATTTGCTTCGAAACCTTACAGTTCTGTCCACGTTTGCTTGGGCGGGATGAGATGCTTAGAAAATGGATAACCTCTCATTGCCTACCTTAAAAGTGAGACTGGGGATGCAGGCTGGATCCCAGCTTAGAAGCAAAGTGTTGACAAAACTCTCTGGTCAGACAGTATATGTCAGGAAAATGTGGCATTTGGGACAAAACAAGAGCTGGGATTTGATGGTTTCACCTTTTACTACGCAGTGTTTTTATTTTCCCTCCTTCTTTCTCTTCTTCCATCCATGTACTATCTGATTTTACTCTCACACACTCTTTTTTCCTAGAGTGCTCTCCTCTTTGCATAGCATTTTTTTCTTGAGTCAACAAAAAACATCTACCAGTTTCCTAAGGGCACCAACCACCATTCAGAGAAACAGTTCATTGGGCCAAACAGTGTCACTCTTAGAAAGTGGCTTTCAGGGCAAATCTAATAAGATATTCCTTTGATCGAAGGATGACACTTTGCATTCACTTCTCAAATCTGTTCACTCTTTCTGAGGCAATGGTTCCCAACGAAGCTAACTGCTGCTGAAAAGAAACCAACTGGAAAAGACACTTGCTTCTTTTTCTGTTAGGGTTTTCACAACTGCTTCAAAAGAAATGCGAATTAATCATTTGTTTTGACCCAAGAGCAGCAGAACTTATTTTGAAGATTTAAACAGGCAACACAAATGTAAACAGAAGTCTGGGGCTCCCAAATGCTAGGGCTGAAAGGAGTCAGTCTGAAAACACCAGTCCTACTCAGCGTTTATTTTCATTGGAAGATAGTGGAAATCATATATAAATCATGGGCAATACGAATTCTTCTTGCCTGGCAAATGTCCACATGAATCTGTTAACCTCTATGTACAGATACAGCATTTTGTTTAATAGAAAGACAGGGTGGTGTGGCAGTTAATTAGCAACCGATACTGTAAACTACAGTAGATACAAAGTTTTATATAAATTAATTGCCATTATAAAAAGGCAACTGTTTTAGCTAAGAAGGTACAAAAACTGGTACTTCCATAAATATAACAAGAAGCTAAGTGAAGAAATACATAACAGATTGTTTTTCCTATATATTTGAATATGCAAACTAAGACACCTGTGGCACTTTACACAAAAGTAGGAATAGGACGTACACCCCCACACCCCCATCCTCTCCCACCCGGCCAGGCCCCACCCTTCCCCCCATGGATTTCCAAAACATGACAAATTCTAGGGTTATAAGGATAGGATGCCTCAAGGAAGCAGCAAGACAGCGAGCTCTGACCTGCTAGACAAAGAAGGAGCCTTATTGACAGTTGTAAAGCATTAGGCGTCAGACAGAAACTTGTCAAAAACAGCTGTTGTTGGGTACTGATTGATAATGTTTTCATTCTGACGGCTGAGACGCTGCAGACAGTCGTGGGGCTGTGGAGAAGCCCATCGCTGGAGTGCACGTGAACACACACAGACAACGGGAAGTCATTTAACAGATGGCTGAGGAGCACTCCGCCACAGTATCTTCAAAAGACAACATTCTACATTTAATGAACTTGCAAGGAAAGCAAGGCCTGAAAAATCATCGATTTTTTTCTCATAGAAGATGAGCACAATAGCACAAAATACAAACAGGAATCGTGTAACTGGTCATCAGGATAAAAATTCTGTGCTGCTTACAGATTATTACAGTGCTAGAAGTGTTCAAGGGTACTGTAGACAAAATTGCATATGAATTGTTATGGATCATTTTCTGATCCATTTCACAAAAAAAAAAAAAAAACCAAACCCAAAAACTTAAAGAATGTTGGCTATTTCAGAGGCAATGATTCCACTAAAATCTATTTGCAGGATTAACTTATCATAGCTACATGTAGAGGAAGGGAAGGATCTGAAGTATATCCTCTGGAAAATTATGAGGTTTCATGTCACCCTGTGATACAGTAAGTCTGTGATATTTGGGCATCAGCCTATGCCACCTAAAAATTACCAACGTCTTTTTATTGCTCGGGTGTGGGGAGCATTTTCTATCACTTGGCCATTTAGTATTTTAATAAGTGGCCAAAAGTCTACAAAATGTGCCAAAGAATATTTCATCTATGAACCTCATTGTCCACAGATTATTCCTGATTTAGAAAATGTCAAAGGTGTTCAACTTTACTAAAACTGTACATTTATCTTTATGTAATTTATCATTTAAATTAAATGGAAAAATTAGTTCCAAAGACTGAAGGCCCTCAAATTACTCCTTTGCTGCAGGCCCAGCACGTTTTTAAGGGCACACTGAAACCCCTGAAAATAGAGGTGTGCAACAGAAATACTGATAGACCTTAGCTACTAGATGGAGACTTTAGCAGACTCCATCAAACTACATTAGTACTTGAATCATAAATATACAGATGATTCTGTCCTTGATATTTTTGTTGAATCTGTGCCAGCTTAAACCCTAACCAATATAAACTATACTTCATTTGGCTGTTTTAAAGTTTGTATTTATTATTTTAAAAATTATTTTCTCTATTTCAATCAAACATTTCTCATTTTTAGAAAAAGATACTATGCTGCAGCTTGGCATTATGCAGGTTAATGGTTTCATTACAAAATATTTGAGGACTTGATCAAATGTAGCTAGTGGTGCATGCATTGTGCCTAAATTTCCTCCAACTCTCTCAACAACTAAAACAATGGCTTTGTTCTTAAAAGAGAGAAGGGAGCAATATTGCAGATGTAATCAAGGAAACACTGTGAATCTGGTCTTTAAGTTCCTCAAAGCTAATTTTACTGTGGTCAGATATTCCTTTATGATAAGATGATTAATTGAAGCTTATGGTTGTCAATTTTTTTTTTTGCTCATAGTCTATAAGTCAGTATACAAAAAACTAAAACAACAAAATTGAGATAAAATAAAATTTAAAAGCCCCCAAATCCTGAAGAGATCATGAAAATGACATACATATCTGTGGAGTCTCAGTCACCCAATACTCCAATAGAAAACCCAGGAAAAATGAGTCAAAGTATGTGAGTCTTTCTGAGCTCTTCATAAGGGATTTGATTTCCATGAGCCGAATTCTATCCATTTTAACACAAAGTGTAGAAGAGATGCTAAGAACGACAGAAGGAAGAGACATGCGGTAAAGATAATTAGTGGTAAACAGAGAATAAATTCTCCCTCAGTAGTGTGTACTTGAGTTAGTGCCAATGATAATTTACCTGATTTACAGAATATTCACTTTACTACAGAGATGAGCGTCTGAAATAACTAGAGAAAATAGATCTGATGCCATGATAGTCTTGATACCAAAACAAAATTAAAATGAGAAACCAACGTGATAGGTTCAAGGCCTTTTGGGAAGTTATGAAATTTCACATTCTCATAGCTTCATGGTCTTTTTCTTCCAATAAATTTATCAGCTGAGAGAAGCTGTCTTTCAGTGCATCCATGTCATCCAGTGAGCAGGGCTGCAGAATCCAGCGTTTTCCACGGGCGAGTGGTTCAAGTTCGAAATATTTTTTGATCTTAAGAGGAGAAAGAAAAAGATAAATGTTATTAATTTTATCAGAACCTTTTCTATACTGAAACCCAAGTGATAAAAGTGGGGAGATTTCAAGGAAAATTTGCATGAATTGTGAAATCTGGGATATTCTAGAATTCTGTTCACAGCTGTTGTTATAACAGGAGTTATATGTTATGACCTGGGAGTGTTTTCTTTAGGGCTAGGTGACCTGCTTGTAAGCCACCATTCCAACAATACACTCAACAGCATGGGAGGTCTTATGAAGTCTGAGAAAGAATTATGTGCAATATGGTACAGGGAAAATTGCAAGAAAGACACCAAGAAGACTCAACTTAATCAAAATAATGCTAGCAGAGTTCACTTTTACTATCTTACCCTAATGACTTTTTAAAGTAGTGACAGCCTTCAGTGTGTACTGTATCAATTAATCAAGATAATTATTTTGCTCAAACACATAAAAAATCTAAGTTCCATCATCTTTTTTTCCTCTTGCCTTCTTAAATTTCTAGTGTCTATTTTTGAGACCTAGGACAGCATTTTCTAGAAAAGAAAATAGAAATTGAGTGTGTATGTGTGCGTGCATGTGTGTGTGCAGAACCTCACATTACATTCAAGTTCATACAAATATAAATTAACATGATGTATAAAGCTGCATAAAGTCTCCCAGTTTTTCTCCCTGAACTTTCTGGGAGGGAAAAGAAAAATCAAACTCTCACAAAAGGTATGAGGGGGCACAATTGCTTTCTTGAAAACCTTTATAATTAAGAACCAGTCACAACTCACTTTTACTGTATTGGTTAGGAGACTAACAGCATCTAATATTACCAACTCCTGGCTGTGAATCTATCTTAAACTGTTAGGATTTCCAGTAGTAGTGATGATCTATTCTCAAAGAGAATGATAAAGTATAAAATTCAAGAAACTACTCACTTATACATACTAAATCACATAAAAATAGAACTTTATATTTATTGCCCTGCAAGGTTTTACAAAGACCTTATGCCATTCCCGAATGTGGTTTCCTTTTGCATGTACCGTCATGATCACCAGACTAGTGTTGACAGCACATACACCATCTGAACTGGTGTTAATAGAGCTGTACGTTTTTTCATATAAGCAAGAAGATATAAATAAGAAATACCAAGTTTTTATGCTAACCTAGGAAACAGAAAAATACCAACATTTTACAATTCAAGTGTGTCTAAAAAGAATTCTAATGTATGTCTGCAAATTGACAATAAGTACTATTAAAAAAACAAAGCCTGTGAGAACTGAAGGATATTCATTAATTATGATCCTGAAGAGTAATGAGGATTTTATCCATGGATCAGAAAATGGGTGGTCTACAACCTTATCACAATTTTTTGCCCAAAATATTGCACAAATCCTGTTATAAGGATTCTTACTTATTGAGAATACAAACTACATTCTTTTAGTTTCTTGTCTCTAGGGTATCGAAAGCAATACACCTCCGAGAGAACCTGAAGTTGATTGTATTAGGACCAGTACTAGAGATCAACTCTGTCCCACAGAGGGAGGAGCCCTGGGCCTCAGAAGGGAAAGAGGTGGCAGGGGATCACAGGTAGGGAACAGTGATTAAGACAGGGGAGTAGCTATACCAAAGAGTATAAGTGAGAGATGTTTAGCTCCCTGCTTCTTCCACAAAGGGAAGTACCACTTCCTTGGCTTATACCACTGAGCCCAGGAATGTGGACTGATGTGTTTATGAAAAAATCTGGCATTTCATCAGTAATGCTCCCCATCAGATGAAATCAGCATGTAATATCTCAAATCTGCCATTTTATAACCTTGAAATCAAAAGGACAGTATTTGAAGTATTGCTAATAACTGAGAAGAATGCCAGTCACAAGAAATGCAGTAACATTAAAATAAAGAGAAGCACTAAGCCAGTAAGTGCAGCTCACCAAGAATACTTCTTCCAAGAGGTTCATTTAAAAATTACACAGAATTGATCCTGGAAGTACATCTACAACTAATTTAAAAGTGATGTGGGGTTGGAATAATCACAAAACATGTTAGCAATTTGTGATAATTTGCATTACCAACAGATCCAAAACCCAGTGAGGCTTAGCTACCCATTAGGTGAGTTTCTAAGCAACTGAAAAGATAGTCTATCTTGCAGGCACACTTGGAAGAAAATAAAGATGTCTAAAGGTAGATAGGTTCCAGAAGTTGTTCTGCTGAATACTAAACATAAGGAGATGGAAGCTGTGATGACAGAGATCAACCAGATAAAGGAGCTCTGTGGTGTTAAGCTGACAAGTATGGCTGGGGTAACCTGAGATTTTCAGATCTATAACCTTACTGGCTACCTAACCTGCTGTACTCACCCCCTTGGATCTGAAGGATTCCATACAACTAATTTATAATACCAATTTTAAAACAAGATTTGGCATTCCACTGATATTCATGTACAGTGAGTGACCATTTGTTGCTGGAACATAGCTTTTCATTGTCAGGAGTTTCATGTTTTTCAACAGGATGGCTCCAATAGAAGAGGGGGATGATGAAGGCTTAGTACTCTAATGCTGATTTTCTTTTAGGATAACATTTTTATTTTGTATTTATATTAACCTGAACTCTAAATTTTACTTCCCCAATATTATTACAATGAAAAATCAGATTTGACTTGTCCATCATGACATTTTTGTCCTTGTATATAATGACTGATGCATAATTTTAAAGAATGGTGTTTAAGTTTGACCCACATAAATAATATGCTCACATTTTATATTTCTTTTTAAAAAGTGCCTGTAAGGTAAGGCTCTATTGCTTATGATAAAATTATAATTTTGGAAGGTCAACCAAAAATTTTAAATAAGGGCAACTGAACGTAAGTCTTTTGAATAATCTGTTGACTACTTCAATGCCATTGTTAACTGGAAAGTACTGGAATAAGGAGATGGTGATTGTTTCACATTGGTGCTTGGGGAATGACATCAGAATGCCTGGCATTCTGTGGTAATTTATCTATTTTGGGGATAGCCACGGAGGGTGGGCATTTGTTAGTAGTCATGTGTCCATCCTGGATAGGAAAGCAAAGCTACCATTAGTAGCCAACCTGTTTTAGCTGTGTCATCAGAGTCCTTCCTCACTCATGCCATAGCAGGGTGATTTGCATCACTGCATTCCATTAGTCACATTGCATTGCCCGTAATGTCTCAATATAACGGAAGCAGCACCATCCCACTGTTGCTAATGCTTGTAGCAGCTGTTAAACCTGTGAGATATTACATATCACAGGAGACCCACTCATTGGGTAGAACACATTCTTTGTGTTGCCTTGAGTAGTGAAATCACAAAATAACCCTTTCTTAGTTACACTGAGTGTCCTCAGTGCAGCTTCAAAATTTCAGCTTTCAATTCCTGTCAAACCAGTGTGGCTAAATTTTTAGAAGGCACATGAATAATTTCTGACCGTAATAACTGGCCTTTTTAAAAACCTGAAAACCTCATTTCATGTAAACTACTTGTCCTTCCTGCTTTTGTGATTAAACCATGTAAGTAGTGTGTGCCCAGGGATGACCTAGTTTTCCTCTAAGCACTTTAGGTAGCTGGGGATGTGGTAGAGGTGAGGTAAGAAGAGAATACAACAGTCTAGAAAGGGTTCACTCAGTGTTTTTGTATGAAATACTTAGGGTCTAAGCTCAGGTACTTATAAACAGAGCTTTAATCCACATGAATGTGTGGCAAGACACTGTATGACAGTTTTTATTGTGTGGAACTGTGCTGTGCATTATTGAACATTAAATGCCATTAGTACCAATCAGTAATTGCTAAAGCTAAAAATATTTCATCCCCTTCTCATGTCTCAAACACTCCAGGGTGGTTCTGACCTGCTGGGAACTACTGTAGCCCTCTGGGATGCAGGTTCTTCTTGCACTTGTCTGGGGCCATGGATGGAAGCTGAGTATTGCTTCACCTATACGTTCAAGGTCTCCGAACAACATACACATTTCCTCTGTGAAAAACTAGCAGACTATAAGTGGTCTTTCTTAAGCTTGTGGAGGATTGTGGTGGGGTTGGAGCAGTCTAAGGAACTTTGAAAACTTTCCTTCTGAAGGTTGGCTTCCCATAACTTCATTCATACATCTGCTGTCTCTCCAATGAGACTCTTGTGAGCGAGGGAAGGAGGCAGGGCTGTGCTCTAATGGAGCCACCTGTGCCAGCACACCACGTATGGGATTCCACTTAGACAAGCAGAATACTGTAAAACTGTAAAATAAAAACCAAACAGAAGCAGAAATGGCCTGGCCAGAGCACTGCCTTCATCATTTTGTATCATAAGATTATAAGACCCTCACTTGTAGGACTTTTCAGTGATCATAAGAGACATGGTACCATGCAGTTTACAGTGGGCTTTTCTATTCAATTCTAGCACTCTGGCTATATCCTTTGAATGGAAGTAAAAAAAAGCAATTGATTCACAAATAGTAAGCCTGTCTTATTAACCATGTTTTTGACCAAGTGTAGTCAAAATAAATAAAATCAAAAGAAATTTCAAAACCAAAAGTTTATAATTTGCACACACACATTGAGTAGCTCAGTATGGAGAAGCTCTCTATCAGCATTGTTGTTATCAGTTGTCTTTAAATAATATGATCTGCTGAGTGTTTCCCTGCCCTTAATTTTGTGAAAATATGCCTTCCAAAAAGCAAATAGTGCCCTAAAAGCAAGACAAAATTTAATATGCTTAATTGAAGTGATAAAGTGAAAATTGTAGGATTTGTTGAAAGGCAGAGTATCCTTAATGTGGGTGGCATTATGGGAAAATGAATCAAGTACCCACAGTATAGCACTGAACTCCATGCAATGGAAGCACTGATGGTTTTCCCTGAATGGTGGTCTTCTTGGAACTATATACCCATGGATACCAAGGGTCTACTGTCAAGAGATAAATGGTTATTTAGAATAGTTCTTATATCATGGAACACAATTTGATAAGAAGCATCTTAATAGAGGGATATTAAAGAGATTTAA